AACCATCCGATTTTTTTTTGTGTAAAACTTCAATCGCAGCCAGAAGGTTTCTGTATAATTGTTCCGCGCGTTTCTAGATGCAGAAGTGTAGTAAAATAGCTAAAGAAATTTGGCACTGGAAGGTAGGCGGAGCTGTTTTTTCTACAGTTACATCCATTTGATGGCTCAAAAAATATGTTATTTCACTGCTGTGGGTATTTTGGAGGTATGATATTAGTTGTGAGTAAGAGTATTAGGGAATATTAGGGTTTTTTCAGTAATTAAGTAATAATTAGTAATGTCTTCTTTCATAGTGTTACATTTGCCATGCTGCAGTAGCTGATTTCAACAAATTATTGTTGTATTTGCGTAACCGTACGTTTATCTTCCCAGTCAAACGACAGTGCCATATTTGAACGCAAGCAGGTGCTTGGAAATTTCGAATATGGTAAACGAATTAAGGAGAGGTGGTGGCAAGTGAAAAGTTGCTTTTCATCGGGTTGGATCCTTTTTTCACTGACGATATCGAATTTTGCTTTTTTTCTAACACGTCTTTGGTGAGAGTGGGGTGCTGCCATTCATAGGTTCTTGTCACTGATGGAAACGCTTTGAATAAGCATAATAACAATGTATAAATCTAAGAGAAAAGAAGTGGCAGACTGTACAAGTTTTTATAAAACCACTGGTGCAGAAACGGTTGGATTAAGGCAATTAGTTACACCGGAGCTCTAAAAAAGAACAAGGGTTTATTAAGATAAGAGGTTTAGCAACAAGAATTAAGTTTATCATGTAAAAAATGTTAATGTACTTTTGTAACTGCTATTAATCGACAAAGGGTAGCTGCTCACTGCCATTGGAAGCACGTTAAAAAACCAGAAACTGATCTTATCACTGAGAAAACAGTCCACTCTGATAATAATCAACTGTTTAGTGCTGGTCTGCTGATACTCAAATAATTAGCGGCCTTCCATCACCTCTCCTTTATTTATTCACCTTCTTTAAAACTTATAAATGCTTTCTTTCTTCCGATCAATATATTGGTATTGTTAAACACTATTGGACAGAATTAAAGATGACGTGTGACTGGTAAAGTGAACAAACGGTCACATTAATGTAAAGCAACTTATTGGGATGAATTGTAAAGGCACAGAGGACGTAACACAAAGGAAAAATACATTACGTATTCTTACTGAAGTACTCGAAAAAAAAAAAAAAAAA